ACGCTCGGCGACCGGGACCCGAAGACGCTCACCTCGATCAACAACCTGAGCGCGCTGCTGTATGCAAAGGGCGACCTGGACGGCGCGGAGCCGCTTCTTCGTGAGGTGGTGGCGGGGTTCCGCGATACGCTCGGTGACGGGCACCCGAGCACGCTGAGCTTCATCTACGGCCTCGCGTCGCTGCTGCAGGAGCAGGGGAAGCTCGGCGAGGCCATCCCTCTCTTCCGTGAGGAGCTGGAGGGGTGCGCGGCGCGGTACGGGGAGGAGCACAAGGAGACGCGCGGCTCGGCCCGCAACCTCATCGATCTGCTACGGGAGGCGGGGAGGCGGGAGCGCAAGGCCGCGCGGTTTGTTGAGGCCGACGCGCTGGCTGCCCAGTACGAGCTGGAGTGAGCGGGTCGGGCTGCCGCGACCGCTCAATCTGCACGGGAAACGCGAGATGCCGGCCTGCGGGCGGACCCTCACAGCTCACAGCCCAGAACGCATAATTTCTTTTGCCCCTTTCCCTTATTGGTGCCCTCGGGTTCATGTAACGCTGACCCTCCCAAAAAGAAAAGAGACAGGCTAGGGGAGGGATGGGAGGACGGCACGCCGCCATAAACAAATAACACGCCGCCATAAACAAATAAATAGAGCAGTTCACCTCCATACGCATATCGCATATGCTCCATGCATGATGGGATGGGCGACGCACGAACACAGTCACAGAGGCACAGCGCGCACCCCGCCCCGCTCGCAGGGCGTGCATCACAAGGGCAAGCAACAGTTTCTTGCCGCGCGATTTTTTGCCGCCATTCTGCAAGGCGCGACGACATGGGTGTACGGCGCGCCCCCGCTCCGGCGACGGCGTCCGCCGCGGCGTGCGCCCCCGCTCCGGCGACGGCGTCCGCCGCGGCGCCAAGCGGAGAGGTCGTGTGCGGCTTGTGCGGCTCGTATGCACTGGGCGAGGTGATTGGGGAGGGGACCTTCGCTGTGGTCTACCGTGCGCGCTCGACGACGACGGGCGGCGCGGTCGCCGTCAAGCGGCTCAAGCAGCACGAGAGCGTCTTTGAGAGCACCCGCGCCCGCGACGAGCTGTGTGCGCTACGCAGGCTGGCGGGCAACGGGCGGAGGCCGCAGAACCCGAACGTGTCAGCGTGCTGGACGTTGCC